TTCAGTGTATGAGACTAGCGGATCACGCCACTGTAAATTTCAACCATAACATGTTGACGGCTGTTTGTGTTCTTGATGTCCAGAAGGCCTTCGACACAACGTGGTATTCTGGCCTACTATGTAAATTGTCAGAGTTAGAATTTTCGACAAGCCTCATTAGGTTAACTGCTTCTTTTCTTACTGACAATAAATTTAAAGCCTTGGTGGAAACGGAATTTTTTACGCCAAGAAAAATAACGGCAGAACTACTTCAAGGTTCCGTCCTTGCCCCAGTATTTTACAGTCTATACATAAACGATGCACTCGCGGCATCTGGAACCCATCTTATCCTGTTCGTGGACGATATCTGTATTTAAGCGACAGAGAGACATGAACGTCGTCTTCTCTGCAAACTGCAACGCGACCTCACTGCAGTGAAGTCATGGTGTGAACGCTGGAACATAAAGGTACAATGAAGGGAAAATTCAGGCGATCTGTTTCTCCAGAATACTTCTAGTCCCTGACAATGAACTACAGATATATGGAAGAGATATTCCGTTTGTAAATAACATGTCATTTCTTGATGTCACCTTCTACAGGAGGATGACGTACAGACACCATGTCGAAAAGACTGTAGCCAAGGTCATGCTCACGGACGTAAAAATCTTGTTCTCTATTTCACATGGGCGTTTAAGAACAAATATTAAAAAGTTCTGGTTATATCAGTTATGACTTATGGCTCTACCGCTTGGGAGCATGCGGACAACGCTCACGTCTTGAAACTTCAGCGCCTGCAGAACACAGTTCTCCGCGTTATTTGAAATTTGACAGGTGCACATCAGTCCGCGAATTTCACGGGTTTTTACAATTCCTTACATGTACGACTACATAACTAAATTATGCAGGACACAGATAGAAGTAACCCTAAGCCATGTAAATCCAAATGCACGTGATATTGGACAAGGAGAAGCCATACACAGGAAATATAAGAGGCTTAAACTTGGCAGCGGTCAGGCCCACGACCTTTCAGCGGAGTAACTGCAGTTTCAGAGTAATTAAATAAGTTAAGGCATAACCCGCTACAGTAGTTTGTACTTACTTTTATATCTTGTATAAAAGTTACTTTGAATAGTGTAGTGACAATGGGTGCACATAGTGAATAGTGAGTGACCTGGTCGCCGTAACAGTGCGAATGTTCTAGTGCTGAAACTATGGTGCAACAGACGTAGCGCTTACATAGAAAGATGAACCCCTCCCTCGTCGAAGAGGAAGCCCCATTTCAAACGCTTATATAAAATATAAAATTAATTTAATTCAATTAATTTTATATTAGTATTAAGAAATTAAGTTAATAGAAGAAAATTCATATTCGTTTTTTAATAATTCAAGGCTATTAGAATTTGGATAATCTTTAACTTATTAACTAAAAAAATAAATAAATGTTGGTACTCACATTAATGAGATGGGTGAGCCTGCCGATTTTTGCACAGTTGTTCTATATTTGGATGTAGCTGGCAAGCTTAAGTCGGAGATCGTCACATACATCGAGTGGATTTCGGTACTTTGTTTTATTTGAGTTAGTGATGAAAGCCCTTTCTTACAAAGATACGTAGAAGTGAAGAGACGATTGTCATGTGTAATTTCCAAACTCTGAGATTTCCAGCTATAGTGTGATACACAATTCATTTGAATTTTATTTTTTCTTCTGTCTTTTTTGAAGGACCACAAGGACACACCTCGAGGACCACTTGTGGTCCGCGGACCATAGTTTGAGAAACGCTGTATTAGATTGTCTTCAAAGTTGTCTATGTGCTTAATTAAGCATCTCTCCATTACTAGCACACTTCCACGCATTCGTAACTTCAGAACTAGATGGCACTTAGTGGTTTGCTTCTTGCCCTAGTCGTCTTGCCCCCTCGAATAGGGCCCACTGAATTTGAGGCTCGGTGTCGGACTTCGGAACCGGTCTGAACGCGGCGGAGAAAATTTTCTTGCGTCTGTAGAGACTCAAATAATAGATAAAGGAATAAAAGAGAAATTGTCACATGTTCTGAAACGAAAAGATGTGTGTGTAAGAACATGTTATCGGGGGAAAAGCAGAGACTCGAAGAGTACCATATTCTGGGATATAGTTGTAGTCCGTTGAAAGTCAACAGACGTTGCGGAGGAACATATGGCCTCCATCTTCAGGGTAGAAAAATAAGACGAAAAAGAAATCAGCATGAAAGCAGGTGGCAAGCAGAATAATCGGTTTGTCGAAATTTCGGATAATGTAGGAAACAGAAGGAAAATGAAGAGCAGATTTCAGTTCCCGTTAGCTCGCCCGTAGGAAAACGAAACCGGCAGCACTCACTGGCCCTCACACGACAGTCAAGCAAACCAATATGAGAAAGCGCGGTATATCAGAAGTTCCCACAAAAGGGACGGTTTTGCTGGTCTAGGAAAACAGGAAAATTTGTAAGGCTGTGGTGGGGCCGCGCCATAGCTCAAGCGGTTAGTCGCTGGCTTTCCACCGCGGCGGCCCGGGTTCGATCCCGGGTCTGGTCAAGTAGGACTTGTGGTGGACAAAGTGGCGCTGGGGCAGATTTTCTCCGAGTGCTTCATCTTCATTCAACCAACTGCTCCACAATCACCCTCACTTATCATCTGGGGCTGGTACAATAAGCCAGAAGTGGCCGCAGTACAAGGGACTTAGTCCCACCCCACTAGCAATAAAAAAAAAAGCTGTGGTGGACAGGGAACCGAAGAGTAAATGAGAAAATTTGTGTGAGTCGTAGGCAGGCGTTGGGGAATGAAGGAGCAGCGGCAGCGGAGGGGAACTGGGACATCAAGATTGTAACTTTGGGCTGATGAATGCCCGGGCTCTAAATGACAAGTGAGGAGCTGTAATAGTGTGGTAGCAGGAAACTGAGGAGTATGGGAGAGCTGCCGTGTGTGTGTATATCTGTGTATATCTGTGTGTGTGTGTGTGTGTGTGTGTCGTTGGCATGCGATGCGGAATGAAGGAGCAGAGGTGGAAAGTCGGAATATCAGGGTGGATGTCTGGAGAGAGCAAAGCTGATGCCCTGATAAAGGCAATGTGCACGGACCTGCGTGACCTCGCAGATAAGCTACATCTACAGTTCTTTCAGGGAGCAGACGAGAGATTTCCATGACGTACTTAGACAGAAGCCATCCTCCCTCTTCGTATTGTCGGGATGGAACTCAATGCCAATCTCCTTTCTGATGATGCAATCCATGTATCTGGGTGTGGTGCTGTGGTGTAGCTGGATGCGGTGCCCCAAGTTGCTGTGCTCGCCACGGCTGACTTGTCCGGATGTTCTAGATGGCTATGTCGCTGAAGCTCCTTCAACCTGGCGTCAATCGAACGACCTGTCTACCTGACTGCATTCACGGGGGATGCTGTATACTCCAGGTGTCTTCAGTCCCAGGTCGTCCTGACCGACCGAAGGAAACCATATATATTCCTTGGAGGGAGGCGCATAGACTTGACGTTTTGCTGAGGTAGTATAAGCTACTGTGGTTTAATATCGGCCCGGCATAAGGCACGAAAGCGACTGAATCTGGTTTTTCATCGGGGGAGGGTTCAGAGCGCCCCGAACCTACCGGTCGGTGCAGCTATTCTGCCTGAAAATATCCGCATGAAGACTCTCTGGATTACACAGAGCTTTAGTCCTGTGTACCAGCGTGGAAAATACGGCATGCTTGTTCGTCATAGGAACCCCACAAGTAAGTAGATATTTTAGTGTTAGTAAAAAACGAAATAAAATAAAATAAAATAAATGGAGCTAATCTATAGACGAAGTACGTTTGGAAGAAGTAATGACCTTCTTAATATGACTCAGACCGCATATAAAACGATATGCTCAACAGTTCTAGTGTTGTATGAGTAACGTCTTTACCGAGCCGTTGCCTAGCAACGACAGTGGGATTTTTAAGAAGCCTTTGTCTAGAAACAATGTGGGGATAAACATATAGATACACAGACTGATGGGAGGGATTTATGAAGTATGCTATTGAGATGTTCTCAAGTGTCGTGATTCGTAAAGATTGGTTCAGGCATTCAGAGTTAATAAGGAAGATTCACAATCACACAAACAGCATGGAGATCGCATAAGCCTACTTTAGGAAATTGCCCGTAGGATTATTCTGGTAAAAATATGACATACTTTGTTCATTAATTAGCCAAGCTATATCAAAATATTTGAAGAGCTGAATGTGGAGGTCAGTAGAATCTAAAATTGGGCCCTTGAAATATGTTCATGAGATACTGACAAAATTAAACTGTCATATGAAATTAATAAAATTACAAAATATGTCGTATGTACACGCTTAAATTATTATTACTATTATTATTATTATTATTATTATTACTTATATTATCATCAGGATCCTCCTTTTTTGAAAGCGAGAACGTGGTAGTAAAGTGGATTCAGGCACAATGCTACAAGCCGTAAGGTCGCGGGTTCGATTTCTGATGAGGTCATTCGATTTTCCATTTGGCTTGTTCCTGTCAGCCACACTATGACCCTGGGGTCGACTCAGCCTCTAACAGATATAAGTAACAGGAATCTTCCTGGGGGTAAAGGGAGGCCGGCCGGCGCGTAAGGCTGACAATCTCACTGCCATCTGTGAACCGATTGTCTAGAAAATGTGGGAGCCTCGACGTCTCACAGCCCTATGGGCCTTCAAGGCCTGATACAGGAATAGCTTTACCTTTACCTTTCTTGAAAAGGCAGTTATTTTTAATTTGTTTCATGTGTGTAGATTGTTTTTAGCCTAGGTGACCTGTTACTATTTGAGATCAAGCTGTTGCAGAAATTAATGGTAATTCTATTCAGTTGGGCGATCCTTGGTTGATTGTTCTGTCAATATTTATAGATCCTTGCTGCTGCCAAATTCAGTGTACTGTCAATGAAAGTGACAAGATTATGCACAACTTAATTCTAGTCCGAGGAATTTGGTTGTACCCGTGGTTGGCTGTTCTGTTGGTAATGTCCGACCCATAGTACAGTCAATGTTGGAGGTACTGTCAAGGAAAGTGACAGGTTAAAAATGGTGGATGAGGCAACGAAGAAATCGCTAACTTGTATACCTGTTCTTAAAACAAAGGCTGGTCCCCGTGATAAAGACTTGTGGGTACAGAGACTGAAAGAAGAGTACCAAGCTTTAATTCAGGTAGATCCACCGCAAGTATTTATCCAATAGAAGATGTGAAATAATCGTGCCATATGTTCAGTGTTATGCACATGGCTCTGACATGCATTGCTTCTATTTCATTCATGTCTTCCAGAAAGTGTAATTACGTTTTCATTTCTTTCACAGTATGTACAAAATAATAAAGGTGCGGATAATGACTGGTTCCGGTTGGAGTCTAATAAAGAAGGAACTAGGTGGTTTGGAAAGTGTTGGTATATCCATAACCTACTAAAATATGAATTTGACATTGAATTTGATGTAAGTGCCAAAGATTTAAAACATGCAGCAATTTAAATTGTAAATAATCTGTTCATCGAACATTCATTATGCTCTACCATATTTAGATTCCGGTGACTTATCCAGCCACAGCTCCAGAAATAGCACTACCAGAACTTGATGGAAAGACTGCAAAAATGTATAGAGGTGGAAAGATTTGCTTAACAGATCACTTCAAACCATTATGGGCTCGTAATGTTCCAAAATTTGGCATAGCTCATGCCATGGCATTAGGAGTAAGTTACATATTCAATTCTCTATAGCTTATTAAGTCACTGAAATAAAGATGTAGTATGCATGAATAGTTTAATGTAGTGACCTTGTATTCTTACAGTAAGCATTCACATGACATTTACCGTAAGCTTTTCATTTATGTGTAATTACTAAACAATCATAATATACAGTACAGAATTAAATTAATGTAACCCAACAAAAAATAAGAGAATTTAGCCTACCCTGGTGAAATATAAAAGTATGCCCAAATATATGATTAAATATTTGTTGTTTGTGCAGATAGTGTAATAACGTTGCACCACTGTGGGAAAGAGACATTGCTAACTGCTCATGTTTTCTTAAATGTATGCAAGTATGTAAACTGTGAATGTAACAAACTTCGTACTAATATATTTTTCAGCTTGGACCATGGCTTGCTGTAGAAATTCCTGACATGATTGAAAAAGGAGTTATTTCATATAAGGAAAAGACAGAAGGGTGACTGTGCTGGGCACTAGATCAACAAATTTATACAGCAGATAAGGTGGTTAAACTTTGATTGGGTTGTAATTGGGATCCTGCAAGTGTGATATTCAGAACTGTAAGTTCAGTTTCTTAAGCTCACTGCATTGTCTGATTGATAAAATTGTCAATTATGGTCTTCTGCGGTTTACTTAAAAGACATTCTCAATAGTACAGATTGTACAGTATCAAATTATAGGATGATTAGTAAATAATGCATTGGGAAGAATGTGGAAAAAAGTGGTTATGGGTTTGGTGTACTATGCTGGAAGTTGCCTGGAGGGAATGAGGAAAACTACAAAAAAGAACTTAAATCTCTGCGCAGTAATTTGAACCTAGGGCCTCCTCAAATATGAAGCAGAAATGCTAGCCACACAACTGTGATGTTTAGTAATTAGGGTACTGATCACTAGAATGTTGAGCATATTTCAAAATTCAATATTAACAAGTGACATACTATTTTGGGTTTGTTTAAGAATGAAGTCACAGCCGACCACAGCTCACAAACACATAACCTCTTTGCTATAAGTATCATACCTTTCATGATATAGACCCAGAACTCCAGATTCATGCAAACAAGTTATTACACTGACTTCATTTCCAACATGCATTAAAAAAAGGCCTTGAAAACAGTGTTCTGCCATTTGAAATTACCCATACCACCATTTGACCAAGAATAATAGACATTATGTCCATATGTGACAGACCTTGGTATTCTTGTACAGTATGGTGCACAAAATAGTTCCCTTTCTGGGAATCTCATGGTTACTATAACCATTATTTAATGGTACAGATCTCCAGTATACACAGATACCAAGACTTGGAGGTCTGTACTTGGTGGATTATGTATTCGGTATGGTCTCTGTTCTGCCATACATCTGAAAGATGAATGTGTATGTTCAGGAATTCACCTTGTCAAATGTCTGCCATAATTTTGTACAGTCTGGCAACCAGGGTAACAAGGCCAGCTTTTGGATAGAGGGGGGACAGTTTTTCCTTTATGAATTATTAATGATTAATGTCTGAACCTCACCCAGTGTTAACCTTAGTGTGAAAGTCTGATGGTGGGGTCTAATTCCCTCCTGATTCATATCTACAAAAGAAGACTCCCTGGGATTTTAAACGGTCCTGTTAACTTTCATTCGGTGTTTGCATCACAGCAAACTCTTTCTTGGTAGTATTTTGTATGGTGGGTGCATAACTGAGCATCATGCCTCAAAATTGCATTACTCGTACTGCCTGTGGAACATTTTTCTGCTTCTTAAATGAGGTCTCTGGTGTGTGCTATACATATTATTGATCATTAAACTTTAAGTTAAAATAACATTTATTGGCTATTAATCATCTGGCACTTTTGAATGGGAGCAGCTAGATCCAGACTGGTACTTAGAGAATTAGCACCCTAATTGATTGTTTTGTCTTTCTGGTAATTTGGCATATTTTGGGAGGAATTTCATTAACCAGTAATATTACAAACTGAGGTTTGAATTTTATGTGCTGCTGCACTCTTGTACTATATATTACAATGAAATATTTGTCTTTATGAAACATGATATATTGTATTTCATAAACCAGACATTGTTTTTAGTTACTTTTTACATTACCTTAACATTAAGAGTGAAATATGAATGGCATTAAGCAGAAGACGTTTCTGCTTCTGTTTTTGTTATTGTTCATTTATTTCAAATAAATAAATATAGCATATGTAATATATGAAAAAACTGAAATATATATATGTATATATCTGCAAAAAAAAGTACACTGTAACCCAACTAAACCAAATCCTAAAGTAATTCAATGAAGGCATATTGTATTTTAGTGTCATATTGTAGATATATTATTTTACATGATTTGGCACTTTGTGGCTGTCATCAGGTAAAATATTTACACTCTCTCTCTCTGTGATTTTTGCCTACATTGGCCAATGTTTACAACTGGGGGAGATTTTATATGTTGGCGTTAACACTGACAACATGTATGACCTCCCCCAGTTGTAAACACTGGCTAATGTAGAGGAAAATAGCAAAGTTGATGACTATAAAGTGCCAAAATGTGTTGTAAAATAATAATTTATACACGATTATGGTGATCGAATCAATAATAAGTAATTCAATGAAGAGTATGTTGCATAATTTGGCGATGGCATGAAGTAAGAAGTGTCAAACCCAGAAGACAATACTTTTCATAGTCACCAGTGTGAAAACCTCAGATCCAACATTTCAATGAAATCTTTCCAGGCAATCAGCCATGTCAGTTTTGAGTTAATATCCAGTGTCTCAGAGAATTCATCTCCATCATTAGGAATTGATGTGTGTGCATGTACTTGAAAATAAAAACCAGTTTATAAGGGAACTGAAGAATTTACTCATTAATGGGTGTTACTACTCAAATGAAGACTATATGAATGATAAATTCCTAAATACTGGATAATGATACATGCTAGAGGTAAACAATTGTTACATATTTTGTTAGCTATTCGTTAAGAATTATTTTTTTGCTAATTTTATAATATCAAATGACATGTCCTACATCAGTGTAATCTGATCTATTGGATTAATAAACATGAATGAATGAATATGTATCTGAGGTCAGCCCACTGTACCCCAAAGACCATCTGACTCTGTCCAGTTCTCTCAGTGGCAAGCAGTAGGACAGCTTGGAGCCTATTGTGGTGTAAATACAATCTGTGTACACAACCCTCATCATATAAACCCCTCATAAGAGTTAAATAGGGGCTCCAAAATGTTAAGATACTACTTGAGGTGAAAGCTCAAGTCATATAGAGTATTGAAACTCACGCATCTCGAACGCAAATGTGTTTGTCGACGGGGCATAGCTCCAGCCGCATGAGTTCCCAGTAGTGAAAAGGAAGTTGTGTTGTGCAGTCGTTGTTGGAAATGGGTCTCTTGATGGAGGAAAAGGTATTCATAGTCGAGTATTATTTCCGCTCATACGGAAGTGGTCACCAGACAACTCAGTTCCTTGGTTTTGAGCGGCCAGATGTTATCGTCCAGAAACCGCTACATAGTACGTGTGACGATATGGTGTGCCGTCTCAGCACACAGTATATTAGGACCCTATTTCATTGAGAATGAGGAAGGTAATGTTCTTACCGTCACCCAAGAATGCTACAGGGACATGGTGATCGGACCATTTCTTCACGATTTGAGAAGGTTCTGTCGTGCAAGGGGCCTTCACATGAATAGACAGTGGTATCAACAGGAAGTCTTTTCATTTCAGTACTGTATATTTTAGTGCATACTGTATAAACAATCTGCAATGCCATCAGAATAGATTTCACAAAGGCACGTCATTATGATGTGGCACATAACATATGGATGAGAGTATTTAATTCTGGAAAGATAAAAAATCCCACAAGGCCAAATCAGAAGTATACTAGATGTTACAGAACTTTCATTTGTTTCTGGACAGAAATCTACCAAATTTTTTGTGTGAAAATAAACATTGTTAATAACCTACTTCTTAACATCGTTTACTATTATTTCAACTGTAGTAATTCACTTATTACAGAATCCACTTGTTCAGTGAATAACTTGGTCTTTGACAAATTTTTTATCTTAAATTTTCCATAATCTGAAGGTATGTTGCTTCAGTGTTGTGGAGAAAGATCAAAAAAGCAGGTCAGCATGGATATGACCTCTGATTTTGACATTCAAGCTTTTTACTGTTTGAGAGAGACTGGAATTTACCACTGGGGATTTTGGTGTACTATCATTAAAAGTGTGAAATCAAATCAAAATTGAAGTTAACTGAACTCAGTAATAATGCTTATTTGATCATCCCTCATAGATAAAGTGTGCATCTAATATTGACAGCAAATAATTATAACATAACATTAAACAGAAAATTATTCACGGGCTTAATTAATTAAGCACCATGCCGTGAAGATGTATGATGGAATGGAGATGAGTGGTCAGCTTCATGCCCTGCTACTTTACTCCCAAAGAACCAGCTCCCAGTACCCAATGTGTAGAAGGCTGCGCTGGCCCTAGAGTTGGTCTGAATGTTATGAAGTAAAGCAACATCTCTTGGCTGTGCTGGGAACTGAACCCAAATTCCTTGGTCATCCAGCCCATAGCCTAGTCACTATACCACATAGAAACATTAAATAACTAAACTAAACTAAACACTTTAATTTGAATAGAAGTTTTAAAAAAGTGCCAATTTTAGAAATCAAATTGACGCGTGTAGATTAACAAAGATTTTATACATACATACAATTAGAAAGACTGGTGATTTTAAATTTTAAACTACGGGCAGTGTAGCAGCTACGTAAGAATACACACCTGATGATGGCCATTTAGGGCCGAAACATGTAGTGTGGAGGAAGGGAAGAAGAAAGAACTACAATTAAATTGTTGCACTTAAGACAGAATTTGTCTCATATATATTGTGTGAGTGTAACAGGATGCTTAAATATAATATAGTGGTTACATTTCTCTTTCATATTTGTGGGGAGGCTTACTGTTAGCAGAAATGTCTACTGGGAAATTGGCTATGTTGTCTGAGGTTTTTTGTGGTTTTCCTTGCCAATTTGAGAATATTTAAGGAAGAGAATATCTTAAAATAACCCATGACACATTTCTTTCTTATCCTTCCAAAATTGATATTTTTACCCATGATGATAATTCTGTACAATGAATGTAGCTGACAGTGTAATAAAATAAAAAAAAAATCAAATGTTAAAGAATAACTTAACCAAGATATCTAGAGTGAAAAGTATTTGATCTTATGTTCTATATGCCTGTGTTTTAGACGTATATGGGAGGTTAATATTAAAGTGGATCTCATGGAACTAGGTGTGAGAGTGCGGATTTGATTCATCTGGTTCCTGACAGGGACTAGCAACACGCCCTGATGAACATAATATTGACCTTTGGTTTCCATAATATCCTGGAAATTTCTTGAGTGGCTGAACAGCTATTAGTTTTCTAAAAACTCTGCTCTGAGGAGTTAGTTAATTAGTCAGGTATCTTTGCATTGAAGCAGTTTTATTGACATAACACACAGCGATTTCAGTGTAAGATTGTAACATTTGTAACTGAGTGACTATTGTTATCTGCACATTTTCCCTTCACCACCACCATATCAAGTGGTAGTCTGTTACACAATTTAAGTTGTAAAGTTCTATTTTTTCTTTACTGGCTCAGGTGTTTGATCATCTAATGGCATTTTTTTGTTTTGCTTATTACTTCATCCAGCCTGTATAGGTCCTTAAGTGACATTTCTCCACTTCCTCTTGGAAGAGGCTTTGGTTGTGAGGCATCTGGTTTCCATCCAAGCATATATATAATCTGGAAAGTAGCAGGTACAGAGTATATTCCATCTTCTTCTTTTCCATACAGCTGCTTGTAGATGGCAGCAGCAGCAAGAGCAGTATCACGTCGTAAGTTCAATCTCCTGTCAAAGAGAAAAACTGTGATGTGAAAATCTTCATATGATGTACAGAGTTGTGATTTTTGATTGGCTTGGAAGACAAGTTTCTGAGCTCAGGAACTGCATTTTGTTTGTCTTAAATACTCATAAAGCCTTGTATTCTGAAATAGAATCACTATCACAAAACATTATGACATTTGATGCAAATAAATGACCAAGTTTATGATCTTCTGGGATATGGAAGATGAGACTAATGTTTCAGGGAGACCATTTCTGAAGGTTTTTCTGAAATGTTGATACCCATCTACCAAACTACAGGGCATCACATCCCAAAATACTGTGAACTTGATGTGGTCACACCTCAAGTTTCTTTCCCCTGAAGATGGAGACAGTACGTTCCTCCCAAAGTAACGATGCTCACCTACCAGAATACACAGTGGTGTAACTCAGAAGAGCAAAATATGAACCATGATTTAAGTCAATCGTAAATGATTTTGTACCATTTCAGTTTGATCTAATCTTGAGACTTAAAATTATGACCTTTATGGTATGCATCCTGTTACGTTTCATATGAAAAATATATAATGGGACAGTCTACACAACAATAATTCTGAAAGAGACAAAACAGACAATACTGTGTGAACATTTCTTTTATTAGCTGTTGGTGGTAACACTACATGTTCTGAACATTTTCTCGTGTCGTCTTTAGGCATTCAAGAATGCCTGAAGATGATCAAAGAAAAGGATCAAAACATGTATGTTACCACCAACAGCTAATAAAACAAATGTTCACACAGTATTGTCTATTTTGTCTCTTTCAGAATTATTGTTGTGTAGACTGTCCCATTATACATATATCTTTCTTAAAACTAAGCGAATGGTTATTTAAAAACTGACAGTTATATTGTTTTACAATAATTTACTTTCACAACATGACAAAAATTCTGTATTCGCAACCTTTTAAATTAATGTCACAACTTATGGTATTGGTTGTAAGCAAATCACAGTACTACATTTTCATTGAATAGTTATGACATGAAGGAAAGGTTCTATAAAGAAACAGAACATGTTATAAAAGGTTAATTAATTCTGTCTAGTGTGACAGATAAGTTTTTTTTTTCCTTTTTAATATTTTATCCTTAACATGTTTTGGTTTTATAGACCATCTTCGGAAGGATATCAAGACAATCAGAAACCTCTATTACAATATGTTTTGTGAGTATTAATATATATATATATAAAATGTTATAATCCAATGAGTAAAGTAAAAGTATCCCTGTACCAGGCCATGGAGGCCTATAGGGTTGTGAAATAATGTTATCTTTTAGCTTCCTGTTGCACTGATTCACGTTCATGATGTGTATTTGTACCAACCGTCTTACAGTGCACACAATTTCACTTTTCTCTCTTCACTACATGTTTCGGCACTAATGTGCCATTATCAGGTGTAGTTTTATTTACGTCAAACCATTGCACTGTATGCCATCATGTCTCCTTTATAAAATGATTAAAATGTATATATGTCATGTATAATAATAAAGTTTATATATTAAAACTTTTCAAGATTTATCATCTATACGTCGCACTTCAAATTCACGAGTTACGTCAGTCCTCTCCTATGGGAGTACTCTTCCTATATTCTTGTGTATATTGTGTTCTGTGTTGTGTCCTTCCCTTGTGACTGCGTGTGAGATGTTGAGGTTCCCACATTTTCTAGACAATCGGCTCATAGATGGCAGCAAGTTTATCGGCCCTACGTGCCAGCCACCCTTTACCCCCAAGACTATTCCAGGTATGCATTTCTGTTAGAGGCTTGAGTCAACCCCAGGGCCATAGTGCGGCCGGAAGGATTAGGTCAATTGAAAAAATCCAATAACCTCATCAGGACTTGAACCTGCGACCTTCCAGCTTGTAGCATAGTGCCTCAGCCAACTACGCTATCGCGTGCCCCCAATTTATTATGGGTATAAAGTAGTATTTTTGTAATCCCTATTTTGTTTTTATGTGAGCTTTGATATTTTGTCCTACCTTTAGTGTCATTCTGTTGATGTTTGAGGCGTACTGTGTTATACTGTTCTAAGGTGTGTTGAATTGCCTATTTATACTCCTTGTGTTTTATGACATTTGTGTGGGTGTGTAGCTCTATTTTTATAACCCAGAATCAAATTGTAAGAATTATCATGAAAGCTAAAGCAAAAGATTCCTGTAAGGAAATGTTTACTAAACTTGGAATTTTAAATTTTTACTCCCAATAAGTTTTTTAAACTCTTATGTTTGTTGTAAAGCTTGAGTATTTATTCACAATAAATACTGAATTGCATAAGATAAATACCCACCAAAAATTTGACTTTCATTTTCCTTTAATAAGTCTAACTAAAGTCCAAAAAGGAGTATGTTATTGCGGTATTACATTACTTAACTCTCTAGCCCTCAATATCAAGCAAGTTGCACATGATATTAATAAATTTAAACATAAATTGATAAAGTTTCTTATAGAAAACTTTTTATTCTGCTGAAGAGTATCTTGTTAGGAATAATAAATTTGATCTTGGGGTATCCCAGTGATTATAGCTTTGTATTTTAGTTTGCATTCATTAGTTTCTTATGTATATTTGAATTGTTATTTATCTTAAGACAATATTATGTAATATATCAATGTAATCTACTGACAATTTCTATATCCAATGATTATGTACCTGAATGGATCAATGAATGATAATAAAATAAATAAGTTCATCCTGTAGCTACTCCACATATTACTAATAATGTCAGTAAGATCACCAGTATAGAGCCATTCGTTTTACTAGCACTGTATTTCCAATTTGTATCCTATTGGCTAAAGAACATATGAGACAGGTATACTAGTGTTACTACACCTGTTGTAGGCAGCATTACTCTCTCCCATTCCTTTCAGATCCCACATCAGTTCAAACATTGAAGGATAGCCAACCACAATTTCATCTGTATCCACTGTAAGCATTGTGAAACCTGCTCTTGTAAGTAAGCTACCAATATCACGAATTTCTGTAAAAGGTGAAATGTGTGGAGCTATGCCCCCATGACGTTCTAACTCAGCAAGTTGTAATGAAGACCGCAATTCATACAATGTGTCGCCTCCAAACACAGAACCTATGAACACTCCATCATTTTTTAGGCAGCTGATTATTTGATGAAATGCCCCAGGTAGATCATTTACCCAGTGCATGCTTAAACTACTTGTTACTAGGTCAACAGATGCTGGTTCAAAAGGAAGGCATTCCTCATCAACAACTATGCGTTTTACTTTCACATTTGGTGGGCATGGTACTTGATCTAACCATGTTGGACTCATGTCACACACAATTAATTCCTCCACAGATTCTGAATCAATGTGTTTAGCAACATAACCTCTACCACATCCCAAGTCTACGGCTAATTTGAACTTCCTTTTGATATCAAATATACGATCAGCAAGTCGATAACCTATTTCTTCCTTCAAATAGTCGTATACTGCTACATCTGGTGCACGAGCAGCCCTTTCTCTTTGAAGAACTTTGGCTTGTCGGTCGAAGATATTTACTGATGTGTTTTCTGCTGGCTTAATCTGCCTATGTTCACTGCTTTGAAAAACCTCACGAAATACCACTGAGTTCCCATTTAAACGTTCCGAAATTTCGTTCGATGTTTCTTGTATGTTTATAGGCCTGCTTAACGTATAACATAACCTAATATTTGTTCTCCGAAATTTGTGTGATAACATAATATTTCGGCATGCCATACATGACTTCATATCAGACGTATTTTTATTTCACATGGGAAGAGATAATTTTGTCTCTTCTAATTCTCATCTGAAATTCGCACCTTCATTAAAGTGGCAAGTTATCGAAGTAAAAGTGACACTGCATGGCAAACACTAATTGGAACTACAAGATAAATACGCAAAACGCACGCATTGTACATAACACCTCTGGTGAACTTCACATCGAGCAAATCTTTGTACCTCTCTGTACTGACACCTTAAAAAAACTGACGCAGAAATAATATAGTACAACGTAGCAGTTATCGAGAAAGGTATTTGTCGGAGGTTCACATCAGTAAAATGTAATAGAATATTAGTCTTAATTTTTTGTAATTAAATTACGACTTCGACTGTTTAACTACTTTATTTATACATTGAAACTGCATTATTTCCTTTAATATCTGAGATCCTCCTCGAAAATGGCATTTATACAGATACACGTTGGAATTTTAGTAATACGTAATTAGCATACTAGATTTATTCGGTGCTGTATATTTCCTAAGATCACATCAGGGCCTTATTAATTGCTGCTTCAACCTTACAATATTAGACGTCGGACGTCTTATTACTGGATCAGAGTAAAGGAACGTACGAATAGGAGGCCTCCCATGTAAAACTTGTACATTATTCTTACCGCGGTTCCTAAACATCGGCCAGTTAGTTCAGAACTGAACATATGATTTGTCAAAGAAGTTTTGTTTTTTACGTGAATATATTAATTATATTACTAGGACTTTATGAATCCAACAACATTCTAAAAAGGACAGTTAATAACTGAACAGTTTTAATATTTGGCATTTTAACAAGACTATATATGGTAACAATATGCCCATGCATCAAACCGTCAACACAAAATGCAGCCAATGTGCATACCTGAAGATGGTTGAGGCACATAGTACGTAGTAGATAGTTAAGGGATAGTGCATCTGTGTATGCAGCTGTGTTGACAGAAACAGATACAGTTCTATCATCATCATCATCATCAGTAATCTGTCAAGACGACAGGTCCACAGTCTCTTTCAAAACAATTCCTCCACTTCATGCGATCTAGAGCTTTCTCCTTCAAATGACAGTATCCTCTTCTGTCCCCAAGGTCATCCAGCATCTTCTTACGTCTTCTTCCTCGTCTTCTTGTCACTTCTATCCGCCCATCTATCTTTCCTTCGATAGCTTCTTTTAGAAGGCAGTTTCTGCGTAAAACATGACCAATCCAATTAGCCTTCCGTTTTCTTATTTCATGTAGGATATTCCTCTGCTCACTGACTCT